TAGTATAACAATTTATTAATAAATATTCACTTTATCTTTTATACATATATTTTTCCTTTTCATATATTTTCTCACTTTATTTCTATTTAATGAAATAAATTATTCAATTATTTGTTTTCTCTTCTTTTCATATATTTTCTCACTCTATTTCCATTTAATGTAATAATTTATTCAATTATTCCTTCTAGTCTATTAAATATATTTCTCTTCTTTTCATATTTTTTTTTTCTCACTCTATTTCCATTTAATATTAATTAATTATTCAATTATTCCTTCTAGTCTAGCTCAGCATATCATATCCCGGCAAAAATGGACTACAGCAAGTGTAGGTCTCCTGCCTGGCAGCCCTAGTCAAGCTCTCTTAAGTCTCTCTTCGAGTCGAAGGCAAAGCCATAAATTTATTGAAATAGTTTTACAGCAATTTGAAATTAGTTTCGCCAGCAGCAGAAGAAAGGCGAGGAACATATTTATTTATCTTCTTTGTAGTACAAATTGTTTCATCTCAACACTTCAAGAGCGATTTAGTTGATTGCCCAGCGACCGCGCCTCAAATTGATTTCCCACAGCCATAGCCAGAGTCCGAAAATTCTTGGGGCCGTGGGGCTGTCGGGGCAACGGCTAAGCTAAGCTAAGTTGCCAGCAAAGTTTGGCAATTACCCCCGATCCGGCAGTTTAGTTAACATAGTGCCGGGAATGTTGGCAATGGTGGCCGGCAACTTTTTTTTATGATTATTATAAGTAAACTGGGGGCAGAGGTGGGCCAAGTCGGGCGAGCTGGCAGACGGCTTATTAAATATTCACACGCGCCGCGCATTTAACAAAGCTGAATCAGAAACACGCCAAGGCCCCCAACATAATGCCAAAACCAGGCAACAAACAAAGAAAAAACAAAATACGCCGTAAAGGCTCAGGCAGACACACACACACACACACACACACACACACAGAGGCATAGACATAGACAAAAGCAAAAACAAAAACAAGAACAGGACAAGGAACACCGCACGCATAAAAGTTTTGACAAAGAAGTCGTTGGCCCCGGCCTAAGAATGCGACGGCGGCTGATCCCAGTGCGCCGCACGAACGAGTCCGTATCCGATACGGAATATCTGTATCAAAGTTCGTCCCGGTTGTTTGCATTAAGCGTTTTGACATGGTCGCTGCCATGGCAAGCAGATGACAGCCGCATATGAAAAGAAAGTTATTTAAGTTCGCGCAGCCAGCAGAGCGACGCAGTCTGTTCGAACCTATAATCCGGAGGTGGTGACATGGGCGGTTTCCGGTTGCCTGCGCCCATCCATCCACCTGTGCGACTCATGTGCGTGGCGCAAACATATCAGCGATGATGATATCGAAGATATGCAACGCCCAGATGCCAATCGAGTGCTCAATAAGCCGTCAAGCAGCCGCTGAGGCGCGTAGTTGATTTTACCATTTGAGCCGCTGGGAGCCTGGCAACCGTTGGCAGGAGGCAATCAAAGGACATGCGCCGCTCATTAGCACGACAAAGTCAGCGACTAGCTAAAAGCCTTGCGGCCAAATCAAAGCCCAAATCATTTTAATGAGTTTAAAATTATTAACATTCGCAATTGCTTCCGATAAGGGTGGACTGTTGATGGGTTTCGGGGGTTGCGGGCGATGCGGGGGTGCGCGCATTGATGGAACAAACAAGCGCATAATCCAAAAATCAAATACTTTAGCCAACATTTTGTACAAGTCGCCGGCGGGCAGGACATGCCACAGAGCCTCTGTCAGCCATTTGGGCCGAAACTTTGCGCCTCCAACAGCAGTTAATTAAGTCAAGTTTCTGCTGTTGTTGCTGCTGTTGTTGTTGCTGTTGCTGTTGACCATTAGCTTCAGCCGCTCGAGTCCTTTCATGCCGAAAAACAGCAAGTTAAATATTTAACAATCTTTTGTTATTGTTGTTGCTGCTGTGATTGCTGCAACAATTTAACTCGAGCGACACTTTCTGTTTACTTTCAGCAGCGACTGTCGGGCCGCGTCGCACAGTGGCTGCCAGCAGAGTTCGCTTAAGTGAAATTAACATAATATACTTTTCCGCGGCGTTATGAAATTTTTATGTGTGCCAACGCAAGCGGCTTACTGTGTTGATGCAAGCAACCGCCTCACATGCGTCGGCCCCCGCCCGCTCACCCCGCTCACCACCTGCCAAAATAGGAAATGGCCGCACACCTGCCGAAAAAGATGCGCCCAGGTAGGCAGCCACGAGAGCGGAAAGTAAATCGTGAGAGTGGAAATTTGCATTTTAATACTTACGAGATTTCGCCGAATGGTGTGAATGCTTCGCGCAATTGCTGAGTTTCAATTTCTGAGCTCAAGTCCCCCACAAAGATGTGGAATTGTTCTGCAAAAGATAATGAAAGCAGAGAGAAATAAGTTCAAGTTTATGCACAACTAAAGAGAAGAGACTCTTAATGATGATGCTTCAGTTCATCTTCAGCCATCTTGACTCTGCTCAATTTTTAGTTAATTTTTCCTAAATATCTCTCAGAAATTTCAAGCGCGAGCAGCAGCAGTAATTATTTATTAACATAAAGTCAAGTGCTGCCTCTTAAGCTGAATCGAGTCACTTAACCTTAACAAAATTGAGAGCTTGGCAAACTCTTTGACTTATAAGCTAATTATGTTCAGGCTGTATATATATATATTATATGTGAAAGGGATTTTTGGGAGCATTTATGCAGTCTGAGATGTTGGAAACTCAGGATAAATTGTGAGTACTTGAGAGTGTTACCAGAATGATGTATGGTAATAAAGCAAGAACTGTCTTTGATCAGTCCACTGAGTAAAGCATAATCTAGATTATGACAGTCTAGATTAGCTTTGTCATGTGATATATTTATAATTTATATATTTCTAAAGAGATTATGGTTATTCGTGCCGCTTTCACTCTATACCTAATATGCCTATTCGTACTCATTCATACCCATCAACTTGATCATATCAAGGCGGTGCTCGTAGCTCGAGCGTATGACTGAATTACCATACTGAGCAAATTCTTTTAATTGACTAAATTTTATATACATAGTCAAAATCGGAAGCAATGCAACCACAGTTGATTGCTCGGGTTTAGAAAAAATTGTAAGAAATTTCCAGAGGAGCAAGAAAATAGAATTTAAGTGATTTACATTATCGCGACTATCGCAACATTTTTTTAGTAAATGTCACTAAATAAATTATTCCTGAATAAATTATTTCGCCTAGCCACAAAAAAAGTTCGAATTCAGTTCGTGCTGCCAACAGCAGCCAGAATCAAACATAACTCAATTTTGGATGATTTATTTTAGTAATGTATTTAATTAAATTTTTATGTTTTTTATTAATTTCTACAATCTAATTTTGAGGTTAACTATGTACTGTAACTCATCGAGCGCATTGCAATTAACAATTTTACTAATTAAAGACACCGAATCAGAAGTGAAATACTTGATGCAGTCGTCCACATTTCAAAAGATGTTGCGAGAGACTCAATGTGAGTAAGGCATTACAGACACAGATGGAGGGCGTATTCCCACACACACAAACACAAACACACACACAGTCACACATATTTAGACATAAACGAGCTGTGTATACGAAAATCAGCGAGTGCACAAATTCAAAGGCTTGCGCTGTCATGCGAACTGCACACACACAAACGCAAAGAGCAAGATGCACAATGCACGCACACACACACACACATAAGCACATGGGAATACACACACACACATACAGCGAGTCAAAACGCAATAATTTATTATTATTTTTGTGTGCTTTGTCTCTTTGGCACAGAAAAAGTCGCAACGTTTCAGTTGCTGTCGCGGTTGCTGCTGCCGTCGCTGCCTGCGTCGACGTTGCCGTCGCCGTCGCCGTTGTGCCGTTGTCCTTCGCATGCTTTTGTGTCAGCTAAGCTAAGGCTGAGTAAAACTGAGGGTTGGCAATAGGCTAAGGGCCAGCGTAGTGGGATTTTGGGGGTCGTCACACACACACACACACACACACACACACACACACACACACACACACACACACACACACACACACACACACTCACACAGAATGAGAAACACACACACACATACACTTACAGAGCCAGAAGTCTTACCCTAAATAATTAGCACTATTCAACTGGGGCATGACGACGGCGACGGCAACGGCAGCGGCGACGCCGACTGCGACGTTGGCGACGTTGACGGGCGCGGCTGTGACTGCCGGCTCGACTGCGGCATGTCCTACGTCCTGTGTCCTTGTCATCATAGTCGTCGCTGTCGTCGTCGTCGCCGTCATCGTCGTCGTCTGCTGCACGTGCAGAAATTAACATTTCCGGTAATTTTGCGAAAATGAAAAGCAAAGCGAAAAATTAACGGCAGCAGAAACGTAATGCGGAAAGCTTTTGTGTTAAATAAATATTAAAAGCAATTCGCCAGGCCAAGCCACAGTCACATGACGATGATGAGTAGTGACTGGGACAGTGAGTGAGTGGGAGAGGGAGAGAGGGGGGTAAAGAGAGACTGGCAGCTGGCAGCTGTGCGAGTGAGCCGTTAAAGCTGGGATGTTGGCTTTTAAAACACAAACCGAAACGAGTAAATCGCTGCTGCTCCTGCTCTATGTGTGTGTGTGCGTGCACAATTTTTATTTAATTGTAAATTGCGTATACGCCACCATTAATGAGCCCATTGTAAAATCAGACGGCGGCAAGGCTTAGCTGACACTGACTCAAATTGCGATACACGCAGCTCCACCAATTGTCATTATTGTGAGCCAATTGTGCTTTGTTGTTGTCGCTCCACCTTGATGTGGTTGCTGCTGCTGTTGCTGCTGCTGCTCCTGCTGCTCCTGCTGCTGTTGTCAGCTCAAAGGCAATGCGACGTTTGAGGCATGCATGCAACCTGCAAATGGCTGCCCGGTTGACTGGCTGGCTGGCTGGCAGACATACTTTTGGCTTATTGGAGCTGGAGAAGGCGAATGTAATATTCATGAGCCGAAACGAAAAGCAAAGTTCTTATTGCTGACATCGAGAGGGCGACAGAGAGAGAGAGAGAGAGATAGAGAGAGAGATAGAAGGAGAGAGAAACGTGTACGCTAATTGCAGTCAAAGGCTGCTTTAAATTTGCCTGAAATGGGCAGCGGGTACGGCCTGGTTCTGTATCGGCAGCCACTTTGTTGCCTTGGGGCTGTCGGAGGGGGTGGGTGGGTGTGGTATCTGTGGTGTCAAGGGGCTGCCAGCATTTCTTTCGGCTGGCTCGTCAACTCGTTGCCTGATTAAAGCTGTGCGTATGTAATGAGTTAATTAAGTTTTTGGCATCGCTGAAGTAATCTCGCCACTCTCTCTCTCTCCCTCTCTATATCCCTTGGAATCGTCATGTAGACCAGCACACGTGCACATAAATTAATTATAAATCCTCGGCAGGCACACGGCTTTTACAAGTGTTTTGTATATTTGCAGAGGACGCGTCTGCCCCGACTCGAAAGCGCTAACGACCTGTGCGCCGGGCAGGACATCGGATACGGCATGGAAGTAGTTGTAGTGGTGGCAGCATGGCCAAGTGTGTCAGTAGTGTGCCACGCCTACTTCTCTACCTTTTCATCACTGCGAGCGGAAGCCCGGCCTGAGTGTCTTAGTGTGTGTGCGTGTGTGTGTGTGTTTTACAGCTTTACTTAGCTTGAGCTGCCAGAGTTGTTGTAAATTTTATGTTATCCGTTTCCATTGTTTGTGTTGCCTTTATTTATGTGTCGAGTCGTTGCCTGACAGAGTGCGAGAGAGGGGGGAGAGTGTGTGTGCGTGTGTGTGTGTGTGTGCGCTGATTTGCCATTGTTATTTATGCGCTTGTGCTACACCTTATTTCCTGTTTGTCTTACATAAGCTGCAACGCTTAATTACACGCAATCGCATAAAGTCGACTCGAGAGTCCTCAAGGGCCCACTGCGAATGTGGCCAATTTATCGATTGGCAACGCTGTCTATCGATAGCAAATGTGTGTCACCGCCTGGGCCATTTGCTGGAATGAAATAGATTACGCTTTTGGCATATACATATTTGCGCATTTCTGCATAGAAATCATTTTCAAATTCCATCCGGTCGCTGACCACACGGCGTATGCGTAATCGCAATGGCAATTATGTACTCAATGGCCAAACGGGCACTGCATCAAAGCTAAAAGCGTTTAGCGGCTGGTCACTAAAACCAACAGCTGACCGACTGCTGCGACTGCGGCGACTGCCCGCTGTCATACGAAAGCCCAAAATAAGCAAACAATTTGACGCTAACAACCGCAAAACGTGCACGACCCACAATTTGGGCGCTGCTCTGTGGGCGTGGGCCCGCCCACAGTTTAACCCAAAAAATTGATGAATATGTAAGCAAATACGAAGGACTAACACGCAGCGGGTGCTGCCACACATACTAATACATTGGATAAGTATATGCACACACACATACACACACATACGGACAGACACATGTATGTAAAAAAAAGGATCAAAGTCCTGAGGCGCGTTAATTTTGCCAGACGTCAGCAGAAAAGTAAATCGGTGCCCAGTTGGGTGCGATGCTGCCCTGGACATTGGCTTCAAATATGAGCAGGAGCAGGAGCAGGAGCAGGAGCAGGAGCTGGGAGCAGCCCGCATGACCACAAATTATATTGAAATGTTAATAATCCAGTTGCTTAGACGTGCTGCGTGCAGCGTTCGGGGCTCGCCCCAGAAAAGGACAACTCAACTGCAAAAGGATATTTACATGGACATGGCCAGTGTCCAGGCCGCCCGCCTGGGCTGACTTATGACTTTGATCAATGCCGGGCGGGGCACCCAATCAATTTGGTCCATTCCACATTTGCCGCATTTAGGTGCCTTCGAGAGTCACTTATGCCCGCAATTTGGCACTGCGGTCATCCTGGCAATAGGATACTTGGGCAGGGAGACAGCAACAGGACTGCTGCGCCTGCTTGCTGCTGCTCAAGTTGTTATCCCAGCCTGCCGTTCGCCTGTGATATATGAGAGACAATTTGTAAGTATTTGGGGCGTGCGTGGCTCAGCAAATCTTTAAATTAAATTTGCCCGACTCGAATCAGTGTGCATTATAAAGTATAATGTGCTTTTAATTTCATTAATTTGCTGGCAGCAGGGGCAGCAGGAGGCGGGAGGCGGGCTTGGAATACTGAATGAAACTAAAAGATCTAATTAGCGTTTAGCAAACGAGTACAGCAGCAGCAGAGACAGCAGCAGAGGCAGAAGCAGAGGCAGAGGCAGAGGGCAGAGCGACTTTTGCCAACTTAAAGCAAACTTTGCGCTTTAATTTCAACTTAATTACGCGCACAGCTAAGCAAATGCCCCGGCCTGCCGTGCAGCCGTTGCAAATGCAGGCAC